ATAATATATATATATATATATACATACATATGTTTATATTATTTATAATATACATATATACATGTATATACACATACATGTCACATATATATTATAAAATACATATGTACACATACATAATATATGTATTTATACATATATACATATATACATATACATAGATAGTTTTGAAATAAAAAATAAAAAATCTAGTCCTAGTCCAAGCGTACACCAAACGCAGGATAAGTGTTATCCAACTTAGACCAAGCCAAGCCAAGCCAAGACAGTCCTTAAGCATAGTCCATGCCAAGACAGTCCCGTGTACCAAACGAGCCCTTAGAGTTTTATTTTTCTGGCTTTACACTCTAGGGTTTCGATGGCTAAAAAAGTTTCACATGACCTAAAATTATAGGCTTTTTCTTAAAAGAAAAAAACAAAAGAAAATCTTGGCTTTTTATTTATTACCTTAACCTTTTATTCATCCACAAAGGGCAAGTTCTGCAAGAAAACCATTTGGTGAGGGGGTGGGGTGGGGATTCCTTGTGCCTCACTGCAAGGGGTGTAGCTGAATTGCCCTAACAAGAATATGCTTGAGAGGATGATGTTTCCCAAGTTCTCGTTATCAAATAGCATAAAAGATTAATAGTGTTTTAAAAATAAATAAATAAACTGTCATTTTTTTCATTGTAGAAGTTTTCCTAGGTGCTATATTCTACCAAAATAACGTGACAGACCTCTGCCCGACTCGCTATGATTTGTTTTGAATGTATCATGAGATAGAATTCTATGATTTTATAGCATTAGTTTTGTCATTATTGTTCCTCCCTAAGTTTACTTGGTAGAGATTTGAATTTCTTATTTAGTTTAAGGCACCTAAAACACGCTTGATGATCCGTTGATTCGCTCAAAATAGATGAATGTAGCAAAGTCAATGGCATATGCATCTTTTTGTTCATAATGTGCACTTATGAACAAATAGATGAATGTAGTAGAGTTATTATAGTGTACTTTTACTACTTGTTCAATTTCTAAGTAACCAGACTACCAGACCTAAACCTTAATTAGCCAACCTCAGTCCTCCCTCTTCTGATGTCGACCACTTGGGTATATTCCAATTCAGTTCACCACAAACAAGACTCCTTTGTAAATTGTTTATGGTATTATTATCTTCAAGACTTCAACCAGAATATGTGGTTAGATTAAAGGGTTAAGAAAGAAACTTTGTCATTCTTTCTCTTCGTATAAGTTTTTCATGGTGCTTTTTTTTGTGTCTAATTTCTAGGTGCTATATTCTACCAAAACAATGTGATGGGCCTTTGCCAGAGTAGCTATGATTTGTTTTGAATGTATCATGGGATATAATTCTATGATTTATAGCATTAGTTTTGTAATTATTGTCCCTTCCTAAGTTTACTTGGTAGAGATTTGAATTTCGTATTTGGTTCTAGCTAGGAACCTAAATACGCACGCTCTAAACGGATGAATTTCGTATTGTTTATAAGATAACATTACATATATAGTTATTATAATTATGGTTCAATTTGAAAGCTTAACCTAGATTAGTATCTACTTAAACGGATGACTATCATACCTAAATCTAGTATGGGCAGTGAGTCTTTCTCCTTGCATCCAAGTTCAAATTCCCTTATTGTAGATTAGAGTAATTTACAGTAATTTAGATTATTACTTATATTTAATAATAAAATATAATTAAAAAAACCTTTATCTTGGGCAGAAGAGTCAAAACATCTAATTGGAACAATTAATTAGCATAAGATTTTTTTGTTCTAAATGATTGGGTTAGCCAACAGCCACAGAGCAGCCCTCGAGCTAGGCCCTCATTTCATTGAACTTTATTTTGGGTCGAAAACTCATTTCATGGATTAACCCAACCTCAGTCCTCTCCTCTTCTGATGTCCACCACTTGGGTATATTCGATTTCAGTTCACCACTTGTTTATGGTCTTATTATTATAGACGACACCTTTAGAAGATAGAGTGGATAACTCTGCATTCAAGACTTCAACCAGAATATGTGGTTAAATTTAAAAACCTACGTTTTAGCATTGAAACATGACAAAAGGTTTTTCTAGACATAGTTTGTCCTCTTTCCAACAAGTAATGTTATCGTAAGCATGGTCTTAAATATCGATAATATCCCCGATATTATCCCGATAATATCTGATTTTTGGGGGTCCGATATTTTAACAACTAACCATATAGTTATCGTCAATATATCGATATTATCCCGATATTATCCCGATAATATCGGAAAGATATTTTCAACACTTTTATGAATGATTTGGTTAATATATCGAGATATTATCGATAATATCCCGATATGAAACTCAAAAAATGTAGAGAACTGAAGTAGCTCATTGAACTGATTTGGGTACTCTACGGAAAGCATGTCTCCTAGAGTAATACAAAAGTAGCTCATTGAGCTAATAAACAAAGCATGTCTAGCCGACAGAATGCTCACATGCTTTTACAAAATGGATAAAATATAAAACTTAGCTTTGGATTCCTGGCTTGGTTTACAAAATGGATAAA